GGAAAAAAAAAAAAAAAAAAAAAACTGATCGAATTGAGTAACCTCCTCCTTTTTCGAAGTCGGTTAAAAATTGGAAATGCACCTGTAAAGAAAGATTTGATATACTATTACTAGAATAGAATTGATTTATTTTCTGCCTTCTGTCCAAGAAAAGAAACTTGGTTTACAATAGTTGCTAATTTTTGTTTATTCACTCTGTTACATCTTGTTTGCTTCCACTTAAATACTCTGTGTATGCTATACCTATCCAATCTTATATTATCACTATAATATATACAAATTTATGAAATGTTTTAAAAATGACTAATTTTTACTTTTTGAAAGATCATTGTATACTTTCTACCGATTTGTTATTTTCCAACTTTACTAAACAATGATTTGGTAATTATGTTATAATTCCTGTTAATCTGTATTCATTCTTTCCTAGAGTCAATAACGCGTAGGCATTTCAAGTAGTTTATGCTTTTTTGCCTTTAATAAAGCGTTTCAAAGTTTGACATCTAATTCAACGAAAATATGTTTATTTAATTTTGTTGCTATAATTGCAGATTCATCAGAAAAACATTTTTGGTTGTAAATCTTAGGAATAAATTATAATGCATGTTGTAATGACTTAAAACTATTTTCTGTAATAATTGAAGGATTTGATGACAGTATTGATATATTGATTATAGATATCCCACAATTATTACAATTGTTTGTTGAAGTTCCACTAAAATGACTTTGACATAGTTTAGTCCAAAGTTGTTTTACATTATCAGTAACATCTATTGTTAACAAATTTTTTCTGTTTGTTAATACTTTCGTATGAGTAAACTCTAAAAATTCTACTGCATAAAGGCAGTACATTCATCATACTTCACAGGTGTCAGTAAAGTAGAATCCTTATTTGAAATAGGGCCTTACAATTCTGTAAATGTTTACAGAATCTAGGGGACTCTATTTTACTGACTCCCGTGATGTACGGTACATAATTACACTACTTTTTGAATAATGGGATTATTAGAATTTATTTATACAATAATTATTCATTAGTTTATAATGTTGTGAATAAAAACTGGATTTACACATTCTAAAAATAAGATGTATAATAACTAATACAAAAGCTCTGTTTTGCCACGTCCGCTTTGTTTTATTTTACTTTACTTTATTGGTTCTCTTTTATAAAAAAGAGGGTGGTTGAATGACAATTGTAAGAAAAATCGACCGAGCGATAGCGTAAAGGGTTTAATTAAATAATAAGAAACTGTTTGTGGGCGTAAAATAACGTAAGTATATATTTTGTGAGACTGTGGTATATTTGCCTTGCTCTCGCTAAGACGTCTACAATAAGAATGCCCCAAAAAGGACACTTCTAGCCTTAGGACCCCCTTCGCCAGTCTAGTCTGCGAACTGTTTATGGCTTTTAACGGTTCCCTTCAAGGTCCACTGACAAAGCGTCCATGGTCTATGTTCAACTTTCTAATTTACGAAATGGAAGCTTTCGAATTTTCTATTGCAGTGCAATACGTCTCATCCTGCACTTATGCGTGCATCACTCCTGTGCCTATGTTACCTTCGCTCGAGCCAGTCCAAGTATAATGTGAAACTCACTGCAATCCCTTTAATGCGAGCTGACAGATTTTCAATTCCTAATATAGCAATATGATGTTTTAATTTTTACATTTTTTTTACTACAAACTTTTTAAACATATTCGTGAGGTTTTTCCGATTAAAATGAGATCAAGCACGATACAATTTGGATAATATTTATCATTCATTAAAAAATGGAGTGCTCCTCGAGATTGACTTGAGAATCGCGAGTGAGTTCTCATTTTGCAACGCAGAATACATATCCCCCCACAGATCGGCTTGAAAACAGTGACCAAATTCTCACTTTGCAACGATGCGACAAGTGCGTATCCTCTCTCAAATCGATTCGAAAGCAGGTACCGAATTCGTCGACTTGCCGTCTTTTATTTCACTTACAAGTATCGAATAACAATTCGATTCCGATCTCTTGAAACTTTCTCTGCTTCCAGAATCTACCGGAAAGATCCCCACAACTTTTCTACACCCCCATAATTTCTCCACCCTTGTCGCGCCGCTTTCAGTCCCAAGATTTGGG